GACAGGGTGATATAAACACGTTATTATCCATCTCGTTTAATATCCTTGAGATAAATGTATTACATGTCTCTCTTGTTAGACTGCCATTAACATGCAGTTCACGAGTTCTATTACACACAGCTCTTATACTGCTTTAGAAACAAATGTTGCGGGGTTTGTATCCGAGTCTAGATTGGAGATAATCGTGGGTAATGGTTTGTGAAATGGCTGATAGTAACATGGCTCTAAGTCCGCAGAAAATTGATTATAGACCGTACATTGGCTAACAATATTGATGTTGACATGTTTTGCTCTGAACGACGTTATTAATGATGATAGGAATGTGTGAGCAATTAAATCCGAAAATTGTAACGAGAGAGTAGAGGATGGATTCAAAAAACAATTTTAAAGCTGATACAAACAGAATATCGGCGTCTAGTATTCAGAAAAAAAGTTATCAATAAATCTTTACTAATTAGTAAAAATATGATAACCAGTATTTATTCATGTTTTAAGTATTCATTTATCTTTAAAAAGTAACAAATCAACCATTATTTTAATACAATTCTGGATAATACTGACACGGTAGGCTTCAAGGCGCCCATTATCCTCTTATTTAATACAATATATTTATAAATGTGATTTAAAATAATCATTTGTTTAAAGAAACGTGGACTTACCACGTGTTTTAATTAGTTTTTCTTGATTTTTATTTAATTTTGGACAATGGCAAAAACATAACAATTGTAACTCTTTGTAAATATTTGTGTAGCCTTTAAATATTAATTTTTTTATAATTAAAAAAATATCTATATTCGATATAAAAAAAATCTGTGGTTGATAAATACAATAATAAACTACATCATATTTGTGAACAGATTTAATTGTTTCGGATTCGGCACAGTTTGATAGGAATTTCTTTGACTCGACACACAATATGCTTACTTTGTCCAATACATCCGGCAATCTCCCAATTAGCAAACAAAATATTTTGAATAAAAATGTCCTTTATTGTCCTAGATAGTAGGTATTGGTAGCATTGCGAAATTCAGACATTGCTTCAAATATGAACTTTCTCGGCCAACACCGAAATTTAACCCGAGACCACCTGGTTTGCGAGCCAGTGCCATGCCAACTGTGCCACCGCGGCTACCAGCATGTTTTTATAGTAATGATGCTTTAAGTCACATGGACACCGGACAACATTAATTCCTACGCTGGTTACGAATATAATGCAAAAGTTATAGATAGTATTTCTTTCCCCTTCCCCTCTTTTGCATGGAGATTTCTTTTTGATTTTTTGATGTGGCGGAGTCGAAGAAAATGGTTTGAATATACATTTTCTGTCAGGTTTTGGGGAATATTCATGATTTTAAGGCGGAGGCTTAAGATAGTTAAAAGGTTGGTTGTAGGGCCGACAGTTGCATTTTTACTGGTATGCTACTTCGAGTTTGTGTATCTCAAGATTTCCATGGTGAACCGCGTACATGCATTCGAGTATGTTGCTCCATCTGTGGTAGCAAACGTTCAACCCTACAAAATGAAATGAAATGAAATGGGGTTTAACGTCCTACTGTTCTGCTCCTATACTGGGCTAATGAAGACGGGCATACGCCATACAGTGTGCTATGAGGGAAATTTTGCCCGGGCAGCGGCACTATCGCCTACTCTAATATCGAATTCCAACTGCCAAGGGATCTTTTACGTGCATTCCAATGTATACACGGGACCTCGGTTTTTCGTCTCATCCGAAGGACTAGAAGCTGTCCTTGTCAGGCCCTCCGTTCTGCACCACTGACAAGGGGAAACCACGTCGGAAAATCTGGATGAACTTTCTCGGCCAATGCAGGGATCGAATCAACCCTACAAAGACTTGAGAACAAGTTAGAGTCGGTCAAAGAGAAGAGAATTGAAATTATAATCAATGTCTATGGGGAAATTAATGGTGTGCTGTGGCCACATATTTTAACACAACAACTATTGCAGTTTCCCGAAGTTGCAGTACTTTCAAGTACATCTGGCTGTGCCCTTGTCGTTACTAGTTTATGAACAGAGCTTGTTAGTTCGTTAATTGCAAATTAAGAATACTCTTTAAAAGCACAAGATTATATTTTTCCGTTCATTTGTAATATTTCTGTCTTCCGATGCAAACATTCTGGTATTTGGGTGTCTATGAAAAAAAAATTAGGATTAAAATTGACTTCGACGTATCATTTAAATACTTTTAAACACCACAAAATTAAAGTCAATTTAGCGAAAATTGTTAAATGATCTAAGGTTATTTCAATATCTGAAGAAGCCCAAGGAACAATTGTCTACTCTTACTGAAGAAAATCAAGTTGAAAGTTGAAATTAAAATTCTAACTGTTTACAGATAATCTTCAAGTACTTAAACTGGTTTTATAACCGGTTGGCTGTCAGGATAACTCTAAATATATATTGATTGTCGTTCAGTTTCTTCTCTCACTCCCTCTTCATAACTCATTAGTGGATGTAGGCCGCCATCATGACGATACATACGACGTTTACATTGCACTTCCATCCCTTCCTGGGGGAAGTGGAAAGCCAATCGTCATCGATTTTCTCATTGCTCACAGCAGATTTGTTTTTACTATTTATCAATTTATTTCGATTGTTGCACTAGGCGCATCTCCAGTCACGAGTGATTGACATTCAATAATAGGCAAACACGAATGCGTGTAAACATCTCGTGATCATGTGAACGTTGAAGTTTGACACCCTTCACGTGCTAACTTCACGTGTCATGGCGAAACAGATAAACTCACGCTTCTTCATAGTAGCCATGATGAATTGAAGTGTTGTGGTGGACGTGCTAAACATAAGATGGGTGATGTTTACTTGTGTTAGTAATTAGATAATAAATATGCATGTGCTCATGGTCATCAATAAAGGGATACCACTCTACTATACTGAAATTCGATGGTCATTGCAATTGGTAGTTTGCGTATCACTTTCCGTAAACAAACTAGTAAAACTATCCATGTTTCTTATTGGTGTTTGTTGTTCTTTGGGACATCGATCATGATCCGGAAATTGTTACTTACAACAATCTTTGATAGCTCATGTGTTATGTTCTAGCCTATGTTTATCTAATCCATACCAATTTGTGGTATGACCCCACGAGGAGACATCCGTCGTATTCAACTGTAGCACACTCGCTAGAGTCGTCTAACGTTTCCTCTCGTCAAGCTACAGGTTCGATCTCGGGTGTGGAATATATTTGCAATACGCGTATACACACCAATTATGTACCTGATTCGTTATTTTGAAAGGAATGTGAAACTGAAGCCCGTAAAATACACATCGACTTCTGTCCATTGTAATTGAGTCCTGATAATATAGTCCGAACATCCAGGAATATATCCAGGCAAAATTTATAATAAGAAATGAAATATAAATCTGGGTTTACTTTCATCAGATTACTTCAATACTTATTATAGAAAGCTTATGTCATTTTGTAACATTTTTTATGATCAATGATTCTATTTAATCTTTGGAATTCTTTCTTTGTTTAGTTCCCTTAAATAAATAGTCTAGATCTTCTATTATCATTCTGTTTCCGCTATCGTCTGGCCATAGAACTATAATATACATGTTAGCAAATAAAGCACGTGTCATTTTATTCCCAAAAAAGAACCGGGTCATGGTGTAAAGGAATTTCAAATATTCTCTTTTATTATACATGTATTTTTAAAATATTCTCCGATTTCATACGGGGGAAATTTGATAAAGGTACTTAAAAAAAAAGAATTCCAGTTCCACATTGACTACCAATAGCTTGGTGTGATGATGTGATAACTGTTTTTACTACATGTATTGTGGAAGTGAGAATCGTCAGTAATAAGTACATGCTGGAACTATCCTTGGAACTATTTAATACCAGACAGCATTAAATTATCATATACGTAGAACAACACGCCCGACTAGCAGAGAGTGTCTTAGAAACGCTATAAAATGGAATACTCAATGTACAAATCGGTTTTTATAATAAAATGGAATCATAAGAATTAACTGTATAACAGCGTTACTAATAACAATTAAAGAGAGAAAGATAGAGAAATGGGGTTTAACGTCCACTCGACACAAACTAGGTCATTTCGGGACTAACACATGGTTTAATCCTATTTTAATAATTCACTTGCGCGTAGGGGTCTTTAGCAGTGGGAGAAAGCCGGAGGACCCGGAGAAAACCCACGAGGTTGAATAGGCGACCCTACTCCTTGTCACGTACAACCGGGGATTCGAAACCACGCCAGTTGACTCAATGACAGGCCTTATGATAATGCGCGCACGTGCTAACCATTCCGCCACCCCCCCCCCCCCCAACAATTAAAGAGGAATAATTAAAATATAAAAAACACTACTATAAAGTTAAACAATAAGATAGCAATTAAAATCGTCTGTCGTCCACCGTCTGTAATTATATTACTAACGAATAAATTACTGAACAAATGAAATATTACTAACGAATAAATTACTGAACAAATGAAATATTACAATCTCTGTCATTCACATTATGATATTATGGACACCGCCTTTCAGCTATATGTTTCTCCATCGTAATCTATCTGATTGAAAAGATCTTTATATATTTGAAATTTTTATCCTATGCCGGATTTAATTTTAGTAAATTTTAGTAAATAATATGGATAATTCTTTGTGGTACACTCTTGGTGATCTTTTCCCCGCCCTGTTTACTATCCCAAGAACTGTGATACTTTTTCTAAAAAATAAATAAATTCAGTTTCCATTATGTGGTTTATCCGGTTATCGGATTATTTCGACTCCTTATGACTAAAACATAACGGGAACTTGTGAATACTATATAGTAAAATCCGGGATAGCAAAACCCAGACGGTTCTTATCGGGTCAAACTTGGCTTAGACCCCGGGATATTTGACTGTGACGTGAGTCCCGTAGTCTAACCCAACAATACGTGTCCTTTATTTTAAGAATGTCTTACAAGCCTAAACATAATAAACATTTTCTTTTCTTTAAAGGTATAGCAGCTTTTGCTGAAGTGGAGAAAGTCCTAGATGTTACACCAATAGATTTGAATATTGTTTCTGGTTCCACAGCCATCTTGCCTTGTACAGTAGCACCCAAATATACAGAAGAATATGGAGATCATTATAAGGTAATCTTTAAACGAATACTCTCACTCCACAGCTCGTGGTCTAATGATTTTATATATTTATTTGTCGATGCAGGTTAATCGAATATATTAAAATAAGATTATGGTCAAAATTCCAGACAAATCTGTTAATCCACTGAAAAGATATCGACCTATAGTTAGATTTTAAATTAAAATTTAAAAGTCGTACACTTTTCATACTCTTCATACTTCATGTTTCATACTCTGCCAGTGCTTGAATATTATCTAAATATAATATATGAAGTTTATAAAATATATTTTCTTGTTCAAATTTATGTCTTTTCTGTAAATGCAGTTTGGATTCTATACGAAATTAGTTGATGTAGCCAGAATATATATTCTTAGTAAAGGTTTTTCTGGGTGAATCTATTCCTAATTTATAACACAGTGCTTGCTATAAGTTCTCGGATATTGTCGTTCCGGGCTTTCTACGTCCGTCAGATTTATAATTCGATCTGTTTAATATACATTGATTAATTTAGTGAGAAAAATAAATCTACATGCATTATATTACATGTCAATGATTCCTGTTAATTGTCCTCCGGTATTATTGACCTTGATCACTATGTAGAGTTGTTTGATCATTTTATAGAATTAATCTTATGGTTTAGTGACTATAGTTATATGACCCGATCATTGTGGAATTTTTATTGTTTAATAAAAGCCTAAGCCTAATGGTATATCATCTATAGATAATATATACGAAAATGGCACAGGTCTTCTTCGACTGATATTATTTCGTTTGGCAACTACTGAACTTCTTTTGATCACCACTATTAGTCGAACCAGTGTTCTGATTGAAACTGAACATGTGAAACGGTGACAACCATCTTACATATGGGGCCGCGGTGTACATAACAAAGAAGTGGAGAATCTGGCTTCGAACAATTACAAAGTTTTTGAATCCAGCGGTTTCATCCAATATTTCATTCGGTTGACACCAGTGTGAATACGGCTTAAATGACAGACAAGTGGGTTTAGCCTTCCAACAAGACGCTGTTTTGTGCATCAGTGGCGTACGAGGGCTGACTGAAAAGTGCTCTAAGCCTGAAAAGGATTAACGAGTTAGAAATGACAAAAGTTTCTGTATGATGGATGCCAAAGCTCTTGACTCTGGTCCCATGAAATTTTATGTCATTTTGAAGCAAATCCTGGTAATGTTTTGGCCAGATTTGAAAACATGGATGAAACCTTGATTCATCACTTTCAACCAGAATCCAAAATCGTCATGTTAGCTGTGGACGACTTTGTTCTTGGCTGGCATTCAGGCCTTGCAACATCGTTGGCCAAAGTGTGTACACCTCGAAGGGGACTATCTTTAAAAAATAAATGGAAACCGGGTCTTATATAGGTCTTTCACAGATGGGCTTAGACCTTTCAGTCAGTCTTCGTATGATCGAGATTTATACTTGAAATATTCCAACTAGTTGTTTTGAGGGGGCTATAAATCCCCATTGAAGGTATGCATACGTGTGTTGCCCTGCAACCCAACTTATGAAGGTTTGTATGTTTCCCTCCATAATAAAAATACTATGACTTCTATACAACAGGTTGTTTGGGTGAATCCATCTAATACAGTTATAAGTTTACAAGATAGAAGAATGATAAACGATATGCGAATAAGCGTTGAACGACCATATCTGGCAGACTGGAATTTACATATACGTAATGTAACAATGGAAGATGGTGGTGAATATAAATGTCAGATTAACACAGAACCAGTTAAAACGAAACGAATTAAACTCATTGTACAAGGTTAGTTATTAACCTAAACCTAGCATTTTTCTCCTACAATAATTAGGATAATTGATATGTTAGGAGCAAGCTTTACTTAAATATCAATATTCTGTATATTATGAGTTGTACAAAATTTGACAATGCAAAAGGAAAGATTGGATGGTCAGGACAGGCTCAAGTCGATTTACTGTTTGATCTAATACTAATATGCATATTGGATTTCGGAATCATGCACTTAATCGAAGTCACTTTTTGATCTGTCACTTGAGACATCTCCGCAACTGAAGTCGCAGTGCGGCCGATAAACATTTATCATTTGAAATATAACAAAAATAGGTCTGAAAATTGTTAATTTTGATGATTAAACTCCAAAACATAGATCAGATACCAATCTTGGCTACGAAATTCGTGGATATAAATGGGTCAGATGTCGATAGAGTACTATAAAAAATTAAAGGTTAGGGTATGAAAAACACATAGAATGTAATGTACTTTAGATTGCCATTACATTAGGGTTGATATGATAGATTTTAATAAATACATTTTTTTGTTAATGTCCGATGCTTCTACAATATTAGACCTTTAACTATATTTGTTCTGTATTTTTCAGTGCCTCCAAGTATTGTAAGTTTTTCCTATCCAGGTGATATAAAAGTAAAAGAAGACGAAACGGTGGAATTGAGGTGCAACGCTACAGGTGTACCTCAACCAACCGTTAAATGGTTTCGTCTTAATCAATTCACTACCAGAGAACGAGAACGTATGTACAGTATGTAGAATATAGTAGTATTATTACATTATTCAATATAATGGACCTTTATTTTTTTAGAATTTAAACTGACATATAATTGAATTTAAAAGAAAGAAGCACCGTCTATTTTGGGTAGCTTTTATTTTTCCTAAATTTAGAATTTTAAGAATTTTTACCGTAGTTTTTATTTTTTTTAAATTCGAAACTTAAGATTCAATAATAAACAGGTAGGTTATAGTTTCTCTAAACAATACATATCCTCTTTTCGTGGATGATCGCTTTGATTAATGGAATCCTCATTAGCCAGAGCATTGAGCGAAAGGATACATCCAAAAACCACGGCAGTCTCCAAGGCCGGATCTACCGGATTCTTGTCTCAGATCACTGAAAATGGCATTTCCACTTCCAGGCTTCTAGTTTTCGACATTATCCGTTGTGCGCTGCCCGTCTTCACAGCGTTCGACCAGCCTACTATACTCCAATGACTACAATCTGTAACCCCGCTACTTCTGGTCTCCTACATCTAATACAGAGTAATCTGCACAGTGACTCCTGTAGCTGCAGTCGAATGAACCTTGTAGTGTATACGATGAAAGTGTTTGCCATTTGCATACGACGCAAACATCAGGGAAATCGAAAGTCACGTCCAGCCATCATATTATTTAACTTTGAATTATTTCAGGTGTTGGTATGTCAGGAGAATTATTGAGGATACATAATATTTCTAGATTTTGTGATGATGTATATGAATGTGTAGCTAATAACAGCGTACCTCCTGCAAGAAGTCGACAAATGAGAGTTACTGTACAATGTATGTTTTATTGTGATAACTATTTCTTCTTGATACATATATCTATGTACATTAGTAGTCTAAATAAGACAGGATCTTTATATCGTTATGGTTTTAATTCTAGTTAACTCACACTACGCGAAGATCAAGCAACCTCTTTATTATATCTATACTCTTTGAAGTTGAACTTTAGCCACTTTGACTGATTGGGTAAGCTACCCCCGCCCCCTCTATTGGCTAAATGAAAGCTCGGGTCAAGCCAATTGAACACAGACTTCTGAAAGATTTTGTTACATATTTCCGCAGTGTAAATGTAAACAAAATTAAAAAAGATACCAATATGAAATTAATTAAACTTGTACATCGGTTGCATAGGGGTTTTTCCATTGAAATTTTCGGATGTGGGAGGTGTTCTATAAATTTTTTGAATATGATTAAACATACAATCAAGACATTTTATACACCAGCATTTTAATGTGAATCTGTCCATCGTTCCACAATTCTTGTAAACACTCTAGATACTACGGTTATTATTGTGTAGCTTGCCTAGAAATTGAAGAAACATAATAATGAATTTCAACTATTTTCATTGTCAACGCTCTGAGATATTTTCCGTTGTAAACAAAAACCTTGTTGGTACTTTTCCAAATTTATATTAGTTATCCAGCAATATACAACTTTAAATCTCAAAGTTATCCTCTAACGAAACCAAGTGCCATCTTAGCTAATTTTGGAAACTGCTACTGTGATCGTAATAAAAGAAGTCGATTGGCTGTAAACAATTTCTGACGTTAACTTCCGGGGTTATGGCCCTTTGTGATTAAGCATCAAAGACGCCCGGAAGGCACAAATTAACACCTGATGTATTGGGAATTTATACAGGTCTCTTAGCTATCTAAGAGGGAGGGGTCTTTTTATCTTCAATCGTTAATACACTAGATTGTATACCTACTCTTTTGTGTTTATTTTAAATTTGTATAGGTTGTCGGGTTCCATTACAGTGAGAAAGTAGTTCCAATGTTTACTTTAAAGCTATGCAGTTTGAAACACCAAATGCGCATTAACAGATATTACATAGTATTAATCTTTCTTCTACAATGGAATAACTATTCTTACCGGCTTTTTTTTTAGTAACAACGGCTGCCCGAAATGGTATCGGTGTTATTTTGCGAAACAAAATAAGTATTGAGTTGGAAATGGCTTTCCTAATTGGAGACATTATTGATTCCAAAGCTCTCCTGTTTTTTCAAAGAATAACATTCGATAAAACAAACAATCAAGCGATGAGATAAAAGAAGTAGAACAATATCGTTAAATCACTCGAGTTGTTCAAATCGCTTCACTTAAATCTAATAGGTACTCTAATTTTTCTTAACCCAATACCATTCACTTTAACCTCGAAATCACGGAAAGGCAAAGAATTAACAGGAATTTGATCGGCAAGAAGCGCGAAAGCCGATGCAGAGCTGCAAGTAAATTTTAGTCGTAATTATCGCCCTTTTTAGTTTGACATAATTACTCCGTATGATGTCATTGCGTCGTCTTTTTAAATGTCGTAGATACATTTACATGTTCCAAAATCGCTTGACTAACTTTTGCTCATTTTTAAAGGTCATCACGCCATGACACTATAAAAAGTCTCTATTTTACTTTAATTTTGGGATTTTGATACACAAATCTACTGGTTTTGTTACTAAGCACTTTTACGTTATCAGTGACAGTTCTTAGTCGTTTAATCAAACTACAAACGATAATTTTCTTTTGGTTAACAGGTATGGCCTTTGATTAAATTCTCAAGTCATTTAAAGCTGACATGTACATATGATAGATATTTTGCTTTTATATACATGTATATATGTTAAAAATGTACAACTGCAACGCATAGACAAAGATCAACAATCGACTTTATTTACCTTTTTCTATTTTTAATAGAATTGATCTTGCTTTCCAGTTAGAATTCCAGTTTCATTGCTTCAACACAGCTAGGTTCTCGGATTAGACAGTTAAAAAAATGTTATAGTGAATTAAGCAGTAGCAGATTTCGGCATTACCCGAGTCGTCCATGATACAATAACGTGTTCGTGATATCCGATTATTCGAGAATGTGGGGTTCGAAATAACAAACTTCTATTGTACAATATTCATTTAATTTTTAACTCCTTATTTCAGACCCACCCGAGGTAAAACTACCAAATACAAGAATTAGTCAGGAACTGGGTAAAGAAACTATATTAGAATGTGTTGTATCGGCCTCGCCTTTGGGAGTGACGGTATGGAAGAAACATGAACGAGAATTAAGTACGAGTTGGAAATATGAAGTGGATATTTATAATGAAGATCACAACACAATTACCATAAGTCTACGAATAGCTAATATTGACCACGAGGATTTCAGTGAATATACCTGCGAGGCTTCCAATCCACTGGGGATAGCTTCAGCCAAAATGCAACTCTACGGTAAAATATGCTTATAATAATGTTAAAGCGTTAATTAGGCACTAATTTAAAATTTATAATTACATATTATATTCATGTCTAACTTAAAGGACCATTCGATAAGCCGGATTAAAGGTTAGATATATAGAATTTAAGACCCTAAACTATTTTCTAACTAAAGGCCATATTGATCTAGAAAACATTCGAATCGATTAATTCGAAAGTAAGATATTTTCATACGAAGTTTCCTTTATGCCCCTGAGAACTTCTCAGATATCTTTGTTTTTAATCCACAAACATCGATGGCAATAATTTATCTAACACCTGCGTTAATAAATTATCTAACACCGACGTTAATAAAATGTCTAATATCGACATCAATTATCTAACATCGACGTTAACATCAATTATCTAACATCCATATCAATTATCTAACATCGATGTCATTAAATTATCTAAGCTACACATCTGTTTTAATCAAAATAACACTTTATTCAAATAAATTTAAATAATGATTTAAATGTTTAAGTTTCATTCTTTGTCTTAATCTATCAGTCTTCATTGAAAAAAAATACTTAGAGCACATTCTGTTTCTTATTGAATATCAGTACGGAATGTAAAGGATTCAACGTTTTATCCTACCAGAAACTCTTACATCTAGTGAAAATAAAATTATGGATATGCCTATAATCTTATCGAAAATTATTTTAATTTAATTAATTATATTAATGTATTAATGTTTGGTCATCTACAAACATTGAATGTTACAAACCTCCATCCATCGTTATTATCCCGACTGGTGCAGAAAAGCAAGGCCTAAACCCATTTCATTTCATTCAATTTCACACACCCCAACAATTCTCAAATACAATGTTTGAAATCTCTATTTCTTCAATTGGCAGACCACCAAAATAACGCCCGTTTACAGTTATGTTATAGAAAGAGAAACAATCGGCATTATTCAAGAATATTGCCAGTACTAGAGATTAAGCCAAAATTCTAAATTGATACACATATTCAACACATTTCTAATTTGAAACCTACAGGCAATGATTCACTCAAAATTATTTTATTTTCTCAAAATGTTATTTCTTTTAAAACAAATCATTTAATTATTCTTGTTCATTAGTTCTTGTTCTTTGAGAAATCAATAAAATAGCCCGTTTACAGTTACAAATAAACTTTAAAACATTCAATTTTCGCATTTGTGCGGTGGTATCTAAGCATAAATAGATTAAGTATACAAATTGTCTACGATATTACCCTCCTTGGAAGCGGACGTTAAGCATCACGAACGAACCATAATATACAAACGTTAGGATCTCAAAAATAAATGGGGTTAAAGTCACATGAACTGTGTCAGACATGTTGCTTACACGTGGAGTAATGTCCATATTCCTGTACTACTAGTACTGACATTTAGCAATTCATTTTCTTAAAAGGTGGTCGTGTAGTTAAGATGATATTATTATCTATTAAGATATTGCGACATATTGTTGTCAATTCATTGGATTGTCCTTGTCGGCTTAGGTCTTTGAATTTTTTTAGATTAGATAAAGCAAAAATGTTCGCTAGTTGGAATCTAGTAATAATCTTTGGGGTTCCTTAGTCAGAAAATATTGCAAATAGTTCATGCATCTTTTCCTTTACTGTGGAAAATCCGTGAAATGTTTTGAATTAAGAGACACAAAGAAACCCCAATATAAGAAACAAGGCCCGGCAAAAAGAGGAAAGAAACTGCGAACATTTGAAGTACATTGTCATGAGATTTTTTTTATCTGTTTCCGACGTGGATTTTTAAAGTGAACAGAGACAAAACCAAGTAATTCTGTCTAATCATCCGTGTGACATTCTCAACAGACATAACAATGTTGTTGGACATTTTCTGATTGTTAAGTAACAACAATAGCAATCATGTCCGTCTTTTTCAACAATATGGAAATAACATGTCACCAGTGCGCGGTGGCGTAAGAAATGGAGTTTCTCCCTTTGCTTGTTATACAATACGTTTAATGCATATCAAATAAACCTAAAAATATCGGCTGTACGGCGTGAAATACTAGAAATGGAAACATATTACAGTGATTGGATTGGTTTTCGGCGTACCGTGTGCTTTCTCCAGTATTTGATAGACAGTCTAACATATCTGAGCGGTTCCCATCATTTCAAATTGCTAGCAAATAGTAAAAAAGCCTTCTTTTCGTATTTGCACCATCTTCTATTATATTACAAGATATTGATTTCACATTTATTTGTCTTGTATAGTGTACAGTATTAGAGAATTAGATGGCCATTTCTAGCCCTCTCCCTTCTCTTAATGGTTAGGCCTACAGTTAGCATTTCAGAGAGACCATTTCATGATATTACAACATATTACGCTTTAGTATAAACAAGCCACTGTTCTCATAAGTATTTTCCATAGCCGCAATAAGAAAAGGTGTGAAAATCCCTACAGACTAATGTAAACTTCAAATGGCTATCACCGGCGTTAAACATTACCGATTTGAATAATATTTACTATATATATGAGTGCTTTTGATTTTTATGGATATGTTCTGGCATTTTGGGCCCTTGTGCAATGATATGAAAAATATTTTTTTCTATACCAGGTCGTATAGAAGAATGAAAGCATCCACTGACAATATGTACTCTTGCCATACGTCGAGCTAGATGTTAATGCTTGGTCATCTGTAGCACTGAAATTTATTTTTTCTGGGTGGGGTCTCTTTTAAATCTGTGTTACTTGGAATGTTTTAAATGAGTCATACTTATAATAATAATATTGTATGGTCAAAGCGCCAATGTCGGTGACTGGAATACATTTCAAATATACATCTATTCTATCTTTGTAGAAATCAAACCAAAGACAGAAAGACCAACGACTACGACTACAACCACCACGTCACCACGACCACCTAAAATGTGGAACGGAAAATCAATTTATCTAACTAAACAAAAGGGTGTATACGATAAGAATGGTCATGTTATAAAAAGACCATACGCTTCACGTGGTTCCACACCATCCACGGCAGGTGTCGCTGCTGCCCGTAAACCTAATGGCGGAATATCAGGTAGGTCAACACTGATACTAAAAGTACAATATTATAAGTAGTTAGCATCTGCACATCCGACTGTTCTAAAACTATTAAGCATACATTGACTCGTGCACGACTGGGCAGAGAAATAATTGAACTTGGATTTCAGAAGTCGTAGCTTCATGATAGAATGTTACCTCAGAACAATGAAAATGAATGACAGGAATGTTCCGCGTTCTTCACATGCCGAGATTCAAATATATGATCTAGTACTCAGATAAAAACAGATGGAATATATTTTTTATTCAAATTAAATCAGGCTGTTTTCACAATAAAGTTAACAGCTGATCGTCGCCCCCCCCCCCCCCGTCCGCTCTACCAGCGTATTGATGGATACCATGCCATTCTCTCAATTATTTTTTTTAAATGAATTATATCAGTTACTACATGCAGTTTTGTTTCACTGAAAAGATCTGCTCAGAATGTTTTGTATTGGCCGTTTTGAAAAAAAAAACTAGTTTGGGGAGAGTCGATTTAACGTTCCAGAATTGAATACTCCCAATCCCTAGAAGGTGTCAATCGAGCGAGCGAAATCCGAATATGATACTGTCTGAACCAATCATAATAGCTGAAATATTTGATTACTGATTACGTCACGATTCCCTTCACACGACATCTGTTTTCGGGACTGGCGGAACTGTGACAGGATACAATTCTGTGTGACGTTCCGGTAAGACAAGCGAGCCCCTCCCCCCCCCCCCCCACCTGAATATTCAGTTTCGGTTAATGACGCATTTCACGTACATTTATGTTGTGAAGTAACTGTGAATTTATTTACTTTTGTATATTTTCTAATGAACCTTTATATATATATTTTAGCAGGCGTATATGGAACCGGAAGTGCTTCCATTATTGATACAGCCAGTGGTATTGGTACCATCCCATCGATCAGCCATAATCTCACAATTTCACTGGTAACTCTCATATTTACAATATGGCTGTCATGATCGATACAAAACTCAAAAATACCGAGTGCTAAATTTGCTTCCAGTGTAAAAATATTTCCACCGAAAATAAAATTATCAGAAATTGTGTATTAATCGTGTTTGTGATATTACAACTATGTATGCTCCAACACTGCTGACAGAAGTGTTTATACAGTGATTGTGTTACGTACTGTAAGCTGTTTTAGTGCAATGCTCCAAGCTGAGTGCAGCGTTCTTTTGTGTTCGCGATCATCTGTGCGCACTGGGCATATGGAGCTTTGTCGATGACTATCTGTGTGAACATATCAAGATTTTCCACATGTATACAAAATGTAGAATACTATAAACTTTTCTATGAAAGGAGAAGAGTCGATATTTTAAAGTTATTGACATTAAAAATAAACGTGAATTTGTGTATACACACGCAAGTCGGCCATGTCCAATAGGAGACAAATGGGTCAAAGTACAGACATTTAAATTTTAAATATATCAGTAGTATATGCTGTACTTTGAAATCATTTTAAGGAGGACTATAAATTACGTTGCTATAACGCATGGAGTGTAAGTTTATTCTCCATATGAAGAAATTAATAACATTTATTTTTCTGGTAAATGTGTATCATTTCTTATAGCGGGATGTACTTGCCCCAAAGCATATACTCTTTGAGGTATTCAAATTATAACTCGAATTTTATTTTCTTCAATAATGAAAAAATGTGCTTTGTCAGTAATATCTAGTTATTTATGAATTTGTCATTCAATAATAAGCTAAAAACGACATATTGTAATTAATGAGCAAGTTATTTTTCTGAATACCCAATATCATGTATCATAGTTCATTTTCTAATTATTTTAATGAGCAACTTTAAAAGGTAAAATCCTCAGATTTTTTTCTTATTTGGCATAATATCATCATTAACCACACTTTTTAAAGGATTTCTTATTAAAAATAACTAAGAACAGCGCAATTTTGTAATTAACTAATAACGTATCTTATTTTGTATTATTCCTGATAATAATGTGCTCATTAAGATAACTTGTACATAGATGATCATATTGAGTGTTTTTATGTACAAATATTTGTTGTTGTCATTTGTTTATATTGATGTTATTATCGGAGCTCAAATAATATATAATATTAATGTTGTTGTTTAATGATTGTAATTAATGTAATTAATATTTATTGTTTAATAATTAGGCTGGTGTTCTCAATTAAAAATTTTTTTAAAAAGTTCTATTATTATGGAATAATGAAAGAGTTGTTGGCATGTGTTAGTGTCTATGTCATTTTAAACATAAATTACACAGTGACCGTTTATTCCCACACCTAGTTTAAAAGTTGCTTGTACATAGATTAATATATTATGTGTATTTAAATATGACGCGATTTAAATAATAAAAGTTGCTGATAATTGACTGCTTGGTCATTGTATTTACAGGACTCTCTATAATCCATAGTTTCAAATGACCTTTAGGGATATATTCTCAAACGTTGATCAGATCTACATGTAAACAGAGTTTGATTCTAAAGAAGTAAAGGCCACTTAAAGACTGATTAGACCTAATCACTGGTTGGGAATATGATCCCTAGCGCTAGGTTTCTAGAGCAATTGTTATATAATGAAAATTCATGAAAAGTGATGGTCCGTCATAATGTCTTCAGTAACATCTTTAACAATTACGGCTTATAGAATAGACATTAAAAGTGCTTTTACAGTAACGTAGAGTGGAAAACACTAGTAAAAGGCTGATTAATGCAAAACAGAAAGACGAGTTCTATTCGTAGATATTTACTTGAATCTATTCATTACATGCGTCACTTCTGTTTTTTTTTGTTGGGATTCAAACGTGATGTAAGACGTAAGACACATTGACAAAATTTAATGTTGATATGTGAACTGTAAATTTTGGATCAGGAACTGCTGCCCAAGCGGTATTCATCGTGTTGTTGTTCTTCTTGGGGTGGCTCTCTTCGAAAAAAACATTACAATCGACATGAAACTCGGCATGCTTGTTCCTTGAACAACTCGGCATCGATGGACGGATCAGTTTTTGAGATGACGTCACAATTCCAAAATGGCTACGATGACTTCATGTTCGGTTCCAATATAGTTATCTAACTATTTTTGTTATGAACAGTTTCAGAAGAGCCATCTTTTTAAAGTTAGACTGAAGCAGGGGCGTTAATGAATTTGTTTATTAAAAGTTAAAAATTAAATGCCTCACTGAAATTCAGTATTTGTTTGATCTGTTCAATACTGTAATTGTTTTATAGAATAAATATATATTTGAATTTTCAAAAAAAAATGTTTAATATTTCATCTGGTCATTTTGATTTTTGTTTAATAAGATAGTTGTTCAATTAGTAGTCAAACAATTTATTCGACAGAAGTATAATGGGGCTTGGTTTTATATCAACATCACAAAATAGAATCTGGATGTATTTTATAAATCGAATAGAAGTCGGTTTTGTATAAATAGCTTTAACAAATAAGAACTAAACTGTTTTATATGAACAAAATAGACACATACTGTTTTCATTTAAAAAGAATACAACCGTAGTGTTTAAGTTCGTCGTGAATGACATCTTCTTGTATTTAAAATAATCATAAATAAATTGGTGGTTGTTCTTCGTAATCCACGGTAACATGGAATTGTCTGAAATTCATCCTAATCATGTTCCTGCTCGTACTCTTTAAAATCTACATCAATTTCTAATGCAAAACAAAAGCCCAATAACACGGGGTAAACCTGAATTTAGTATTTGTTTTCTTAATTGTAATGCACAGTAAGATGGCACTGTTTAAAGCATAGGTCCCTACCAATACTGTTCCTTTAATTTCTACGTCTTTTTTAAAGAGAAAATTAAACGCCAGTAGCACAGTGTTTAACTCTACTTTGTAAATGTAATAAACTAAAGAAGGAAAGTTATTGCTGTTAGTACTTAAATGAAATAAAGTAATGAGTATTGTCTCGTTAAAAGGGTATAAATATATGCGGGGCGTTTATATGAATATATTCAGAATCACATGAATCATTCATAAATCACTGCTGTTTGAATAAGTGAATGGGAGTAATTGTGAATAATGTGCAGGGTCTGGACAAATGGACTCCTAGTCTATGAGTGTTGAAAAGATCTTGTATGAATTGTAGTATTTTATTCTGGACAAGCTTATATTTGTGACTAATGGACCATTATTCTTTAACTCGCCAATGGCTTGTGGCTTATTAAATCATGTCTTGTTATACACAATAATTATTGACATATCAATTGATCATGTTTACCAAGCATCAGTATAGCGAGAAACCCACGAGAACTAGCCATCATGAATCACCGTAAATACCCGAGCACCTTTTTAAGACTTCGTATAGCATCGCGCCATCCGCTTTACGGTTCAGGAAATCTATAAGGCGCTCTAAGACAAGAAGTGGAGTAAAATATGACTTCAGCGAACTCAGTGTGGAATTGAGAGAAAGATCGAGTGTCGATACACCATAACCCATAAATATCATTCCTAAATGGAGTTTTTATTGGAAATTGCCGCATTGTAGGAATACAATACCAATCTGATACCGACCTTTGACCCCAACAAAAATAAATAAAAGCGAAGAGGAGAAAAAGATTTAATTTAACGAAAGATGATAAGAATTTATAACCTTCTAAAAGATATATTAGTTGATTATAGTATTACAAGATCTTGTTGCAATTCAATCAATTGATTTCTGTACCTTATTTAAAATAATCGGGTTTGGCCAAAGACATGCAAAATATCTAAATAGACTGCTTGATTCTGTGATAATTAATACTCGAAATCAATGAGACCATCCATGTTGTACAAGGGGAGTGGGGTATAATTATTGTCTTTCTAGGCGTTACCTCTGTTATGTTAGTGCATCAAATTCAAAAATCGCAACCTCGTCGAATACATTTGAAAACTTGAAAAGAAAGAGCATTGTTCCGATAGAAAAAGATAGAAAAGCATTTGAGACTTCAGGAATTTCTATTTATTTTGGAGGTACACAAAGCTAACAATTTAATTAAACATACATTATGCAAGAGCTAAATCTGCCTATTTCAGGTCTTTCTTTAGCCCTGAAATGTTATCTAAATTATTAATTAGACATTAATTAACCTATCCAGGCCATAATCTACTCTAGATGGCAGCGCTAGCCTGCGATCTTTAGTGGATTGTAAGCCGATTTACTGCATAACTTTCCTTCTCGATTAAACGATTATCCATTTAAAAATGGATAATCGAGACTATGCTGTTTATCGTACTGACTTTAGTAATGATGACCGAGGCTTATGGGATTTTCAGTCGCTTAGTTCTCGGTTCATAGTGGATCAATTTGAATGAAATTTTCACCAAATTGCCTTACATTATCTAGTTTTTAACTATTATAGTGAGAACTGCCAACTCGTTACCGAATCTCCCATAATGTATCTTTAAGCTGTGCATTATCGAATAAGAAACGGTATTGTGATTTGTCCCAATAGAAATAACTAAAAATATCAAAGATTTCAAAAATTACTCTTTATTTTCTGAGGTACACACAGCTAACTGTTTTGTCGTCGGTAACTTTCGTATGAAACAATATAGCGTCAATGTTTGAGAAAACTACCAGATTTATTCACATTTCCTTAAAGAATTTTATCTTTTTGTTGATCAACAATTGTGTTTATTCAGTGAAATCCTATTTATGGCGTTCAAGAAAGGCATCAACATCATTAGCCGGAAAAGGTGAAACGTATAGCATTGTTAGGATACCTGTCTAGCGCCACAGTTGTAAGGTTTTATCTCTGTAACCGAAGGCTAGGAATTACAGGACAGCCATTACGGCGTTATCATAAACGTATGACAGGAAGCCGTACAATTTTCCCTTGCCCCGCGGACTTACACAGAAATACTTTCATTGGTGCAGAAAATCCTAATTTGTTGTATAGTTGAGAAGTAATGTGTGTCTATTATAACTGTGCATTATTTCTCATAAAGGGGTCGAGTTTATCTTATTGTTCTATCTGTCGATTAGCTGTTCAGACATGAGCAAATATTTATCAATCATGAACTCCATACAAGTTCTATTGGAAAAATCGATAGAAATTTGCCTGCTTTAAATTGACTCACACGTTCTGTTGGTTGTTTTGTGTAAGAAAAACAGTATTTGGTTATTGTAAAACGATGGTAATTTGTTTTTATTTGGTTTATTATTACACACACATATTGATATTATACTTCTACTGATTTGAATTACAGAATTTAAAAAAAAAATGTTTTTAACATTATAGTGAGATTTGTATTGAATATTTAAGAACTAATAATAGCTTACACGTGTCCTCGTTTGTCAACTATTGAGAACTATATAAGTTCTGAAATGGAATGGGGTTTAACGTCCTACCGTTCTGCTCCTAAACTGGGCTAATGAAGACGGGCATGCGCCATACAGTGTTCGATGAGGGAAATTTTGCCCGGGCAGCGGCACTACGGCCTACTCTTATATCGAATTCCAACTGCCAAGGGATCTTTTACGTGCATGCCAATGTGTACACGGAACCTCGGTTTTTCGTCCCATCCGCACGACTAGACAGCTGTCCTTGTGATTCCCTCCGTCCTACATCACTGACAAGGGGGAAACCACGCCGGAAAATCTGGATGAACTTTCTTGGCCAATGCAGGGATCGAACACCCGACCTCCAGACTAGCGAGCCGGGGTCTAACCCACTTAGCCACCTTGATCCCCTATATAAGTTCTAACGATCCTAATTCATTTTCATTGTATTTGATCTCTTTTCTAGTTGTATTATAACTCTGTATCGGATACCATTCTCATATTTATTTAAAACATTCTAGAGTATGCCCGAGGGCCATTATTTTAACGAGTCGCCTTAATAACCCTTAATAACAGAACTGTAGCAAATCTTACCAAAGGTATGTACAAAATTGATAATGCTGTACCTTCTAAAAGAATTAGAGCTGTGAAAATTTGGTGGACAACGTCTTAATTAAAATTCATTAATTTAGTAAATTTCATTTTTTTTTTGTGTGTGTGTAAGGCGGGGGTGGGGTCTCACATTTCATTTGTTCTTATATTCCATGCATTGTAAAATCTGTATTTGAATAGCATTGTATAATGAGCCAAATTATAGGTGTTATTATTCCAGTTGCTAACTGTAAACAATCTATAGTTTGTATAATTATAAATGAGTAATTCTTGTATTGCTCATCTAGTCTAGACGGGTTTCTCTTCCCTAAGAAATAAACCTTGCTAGAAATCACAGATAGATGGTATAGAGCGCCCCAACTCCAGACGTAAATAGGATCACGATTCTTAATTAATTTTCAATACTGACACTGGAACCATTCCCAATAATTCGGTAATCACTGGAGATTTGAGTTAGAAGAATCTAACCTTCCTTTAAATAACAATACTGATTAATATAGAACTATTATTTATAATTCACTGATAGATCAGTGCATAAACCCTATTCTCTTCAATATATAAAAGGTAAATTTTAAAAGTATGCAGAATGCCAAGCTCATTTTTGCAAGGAGGCACTTTGGTCAGTGTAATTGAACCATTAAGTCTTCGATTGTAGGCCTATTCAAAATCTGAATCAAATCCACCAAATAATTGCTGAGATATGGACATAATTTTAATGGTTTTCAAGGACTTCAATTATTGTAAGTATAAAAAAAATAGCTACGTTCTCTCTTTTCTTCCCTTCTTTTGTTCTTTTGTGAACAGTTCGTTTATGACCGGGATCAGCCGTTCATGACCATAACTTGACGAAGCTCGCTGAAAACCAGGGGGCTATTCTTTAGGGCTAAACCGGAAGTAACATTTCTTTTCGTTTTGATCGCTTCAAGGGATAAAGGACAAGTTAATAATTTATGGAACTAAGATTATTCAGTATCCGAAGAATTTTCCGCAATTTTAAGTAATTTTTTGTATGGGAGATTAGTTAGTAAATTTTGGTTTTATTTATTTTTATAAAATTGTATGAGATTTGGCTGAATTTTATTTATTTGTCAAATTAAACTAGAATTCGTATATTCACAATTCGTGAATCACACACCTTTCACTGGAAAAATGTTTGTCTGTTACTGTAACAGCTGTAGAAAATTATATTGTACGTTCTAATAAATACAAATAGCCGAATCTGAAAATTTAAATATAAAGCGAAAATGCATCCAACCATTCATTTTAACAATAACGTTTATCACAGTTCCTGACTTTAAAGGTTATTTCAGAATTTAAATTAAATATTTATATAACACTTTCGTTTAAACTTTTACTAAAT